TCATTTCAGCTATCATTTTCAAAAATGAATTACTTCATACTTAAAGTAAAACTACATATTCATTTTAGTCATCGTAATCTCTTTTAAGTACAAATGGGAACTCAGTGGTTTTTTTTTTTTACCGAATCGCACAAAAATAAAGAAATAAATAAAGAGAAAAAAAGCGGAAGCCCTTTCTTTTTTGTGTTTGAATCTTGTGTTTGTATTGATAATCTCCAAAACGAGGCTGGTGATTAAATCGAGGCAACACACCCAATAAGAAGAAAAGAGAGGATAACGTTCTTGCCAGATGGTCCGGCTGGCTGTGACGACTTTTATTGGCTGCTGCTTACCTCCTAAGGTATGTACAACATACACCAACAATCAGTACCAGGATGACCGTTATTTTTAGCTTAACTAAAGTGGGGCTCTTATTTTCTTTTTTTAACTCGTTGCAAACTTCTTAAAACTGTTTCATTTTTGTTACCTTTTCTTTTAATCGCATGCTCTAACGTCTGTGTTTTAAACTAATTTGATTTACGACATATACATTTTTCCTCAAACACCTGGTTTTTTGTTTTTTTTTAAATTTTCCATTTCGTCATCTGTCGTCTTCTCCGACATCTCTAACCCTCTCCTGACTTCAGGGCTTCTCTCTTTTTTTTTTTTTAAATTTACTTTTTATCTACCGTTCTCTATCTTTTTATCCCCTTCCACCCCCACTTCTTTTCTTCTGCCTATTGACTCTTCTCTCCTTTTCGTCCCCATTCTTTGCATCCTCGTCCCTGCTTACCTTCACGTAATCATTCATCATACCAACATAAATCTCCGTATCCCCCACGCGTGCCATAGATACAACATACAATGCTTTCGCACGTATAAACACTTTCAGCGAACGCTATTTGATACAGACTTAACTTTTCAAGCATGATTTTCAATGTTAACTCCTTTTTTCTCGAACATTTTTTTTAGCTCTAAAAGTATTCTAGTAGTACGAAGAAAAAGAAAAAAACCGAGGGAAAAGAAAAAAAAAAAGGAATATTTTAACTCTAAAAGTTTCATAGCAGGAAGAAAGAATGAAAGGAAAAAAGACGAGTGAAAAACATTTCTAACTCTAAAAATCTCCGAGCAGTATGAAGAAGAGGGAAAGGTGGGGGAAGACATTTTAATTTGAAAAATCTTCTATACCATTTCAAGTTCAATTTGGGACTAATCAAGTCATTTTTGGCCTAAGCAAGTTCATAATGAAATAGCCAAGTTCAAAATGGAATAGTCAAATTCAAAATGGAATAGTCAAATTCAAAATGGGACATTGCAAATTCAAAATGGGGACATAGCAAATTGAAAATGGAATAGTCATATTCAAAATGGGACTAAGCAGATTCAAAATAAAATAGTCAAATTTGTTTTAGGACTTAGCAAGTCTCAGGTTAACCGTTACCTGCATAAACGCCATGAACTTCACTTTTTGTCTTTTTTTTCCTTTTTATTCGCACGGCAACACACTGTAACCCTATACCTTGAGTGGCTCTTGGGCCTTGTATTGAGAATTATTGTGAAAATACACAGTTATGGCACAAGGCCGAGAAATGGGTAGGGTTGAGGCTGGTCGACACTATCTTATACCTAGCTAATCCCATTCATGACCCATTCGCTCATTACAATTTGCCCATTCACCACAAAAACTCGTCCGTCACCAATCAATCCTCCAGACACCATAATACCGCATCCTCTTAAGGGATTCCTACAAAATGCGCCCCATGCCATAAAAATTTAATGATTATAAAATTTATACTTAAAAATTTATGGATGACTAAAATGAGAGGGGGAGGGAATGAACCCCAAAACAAACTAAATATAAATACAAAGTAAACTAAACATAATTGATGTTAGTAGGGCCCGCCCAGCTCTCAAAATGAGAGACCGCTGTATTCTGCACATGGGACAAAATCAAGAAGCTCTCTCGCTAAGGGAGTGTGAGAGGAGAAAAAATATACGGATATGGGAAATAAAAAGATGACCTAGACGAGATGAAAAGGGGCCAAAATAAACTGGGGAGGTTGGGAATCTCGACTTGGATCATAAACAAAGAGGCAGCCGGGTACAGGCCAGTAACAACACTTACTCAGATTAAATAGGTACACAAAAGCTTGTCTAACCTAACCAAGGGTTGGGCTCTTCAGGAAACCACCCCGATGTGACGTAGGTTGACCTAAAAGAGAACATCAAGGCTAGCCCCGTTCAAACGAACCAAACTCGCCTCAGTCACCCACCTTTCGCTGAAGACTGTCGAATGCAAGCGTTTTCTATCAATTCTAATCTTCAGCTGATGCTCAAAAAATCGGATCAGATCCTGATGAGAAAGACGATTGCCTCGCAAGGCTTCCTCCTGTTGCGTCGTCCAAATCACCATTCGAGTCGTGGCCAGCAGCGTAAGAAACACCATCCGTTTCACCCCAGAATACGAGGGCGACACATTGTCACACGCGTATGCGCAATCAATGAGCACGAGATTTTCGGGGGCGAGATGAGCCGTCAGCTCGCCGACATGGTCCCATAAGGGACGGACCCGGTGACAATGGTAGAGGGCGTGCGAAGCCGTTTCTTCTAAACCAAGGTCACACCGTTCACAATCTGGCAAATCCGCCAAGCCCCATATGAAGGCCATTGAGAGGCAGCCAATTCCGAGCCAATCGCCAGGTAAGCGAAAACTCAGGGTTACTGAGATAATCCGCCGCTGGCGCCCAAGACCAGAAAGAGTGAAACTCTCCTCCGGCAAGTCGAGCCGCTCACGTAGAGGATCCTTCGCGACCCCCACTCCGCCCAATAGATGACGATAAATACCTTCCTAGGCTGAGAAAGGTCACTGGACTGAGGTACAGCCAACAAGGCCGACCGACACTCGCGAAGAAAATTCGATTGATCCTGGGGTTTACGATGGCGCTCAACCCGCGAGATGAGGAGACTGATAGTAAGGAAAGGGAACGCGTCCCTAACAATCCCCGCCATAATCGAATCTCCTGTCAATGCGCGGCGTAGGAAAGCCAACTTCGAGGCGAGTTTATGGCTCACCAACTGTGGCATTCCCAGCCCCCACCCCAATGACACGGACGTTGTGCACAGGCACCTCTGTCGACCTGATGCTTGCGTCCCCTCCATAAAATGGAGGATAGCGAGCGCTCGAGCTGCTTGCTATGGTCTTTACAGAGAGGAAGTACGGACAATGGATAAAGGACAATTGGGAAAACGTAAGTGGCACACGCCTCCGCCCTGCCCTTCACGGACATCATCCATCGACACCAAGTCTGAGTTATTGGGTGAATATTTGTATTAAAAATGCTCTCCGTTTCTTTTATACTATTTCAAGTCCAAGTTCATAATGAAAGAGCCAAGATCAGAATGGGACGTAACAAATTGAAAATGAAATAAGCAAGTTTGATTTAGAACGAAGCAAATTCATAATGAAATAAACAAGTTTGAATTAGGACTAAGCAGATTCATTATGGAAAAATGTTTCGAACTTATCTGAGCGTTTCAATAAACAAATATCATGGATTAAAAAATCAACAGGGCGGTAAATCAGATAATTAAAAATCGGAGCGCAGAGTTGCGTAGATTTTACTATTAATTCCTTACAAGAGGCTATTCTTGAACGGATAAATTTGTATCAAAGTTAGTTTCTGGCATTTTCAATAGTCAGTCAATCAGGGAGAAGAAAAAAGAAAGAAATGGATAGGCTGTATATAGTGTTAAAAAAGAGAGAATAAGAGTTATTCAAAATGAAATGATTTGGGAGACAACAGAGCAAATCTTGAAAGTCCTAAGAAAAAGTAGCAAGGAAATATTGAACGCATATATAAAAAAAGAGTTTGAAAAAAAGATAGGTATATTGAGAGATTTTAAGTGCTGAAGTTGCATCCAAAAAACATACACCTTTTATGAATTTTCTTGATTTATTGATTACTCCTAGAAGATAAAACATTTCAGTAGTTAAGTTTAGTAGAACATTATTATTTTATCATGAAAAATATTTAATTTTAAAGTATTTTTTAGCAAAATAATCGCTCAGTCTCAAATCAAATTTATTTATTCCATTTTCAATTTTACTATTTACTATTTTACTATTTTATTTTGAATCTGTTTAGTCCCAATTTAAATTTGACTATTACATTTTGAACTTGGCTATTTCATTATGAACTTGATTAGTCCCGAATTGAACTTGAAATGGTATAGTAGCATGAAGAAGAGGGAAAGGAAGAAAGAAGATAGGAAAAAAAAACCAAAAACATTTTATCTCCTAATAAATCTAATAACATGAAGAATAAGAGGGGAAATGAAAAAAAGGAGGAAAAACATAAGAGAAAGAAAAGAAAAGAGACTGAAAAAAAAAAGAATGAGAAGAGAAAGAAAGTATTCCTGAAGGAATTCGAACCTTGTCAATAGGAAGCCACTTAGGAAAACCAGACTGAAAGCAGTTTGCGTCTTTCTATCAGACAAAACAAAATTTAGCCAGCTGGGAGCGCCCCGGCAAGGATTGATGGTTAACGAGGCGAGATTACTTAACCATTACTACTAAGTAATGAGTTCAGGTGTCCCATACAATATCAAGGGTCTTTCTTCATAAGTCTCGGTTGTGGGCCAATGTCTGAGTTTTGGGATTAGATCTTCTAGTCCATTTAGTGACGTTGTCCATTTTTTCTCTTTTTATCACTTCTTTTGTCTCGGATGGTTCTTCGTATGGAAGAGGTTGGTACCTTGTAGGAAAGATTGTTGCCTCTTATGGAGTCCACACTATTTCAACTTTCCCTACTTGACGGTGGTTACCAGGTCGTCCGATGAGCCAGTTTGATGTTTGATGGTGTCCGGCACGACTTTTATTTCTGGTGCTGTTTACATAAGACATAAGAAATGCCAGAAATGCTTCTATAGGATCTCATTTCTAAAGCCTGGATTCTTTGCTGTAATCTTGCTGTTAATGTCCAAATAAAGGATGACGTCATAACGTTAAGTAACCTGACCCATTAGTAGGAAAATGAGGGAAAGGATGAAAGAAAAGGAAAACTAGGGAAGAGAAAAAAGGTAAGGGAAAAAAATGAAAGGGAAAAACAGAAAAAAGAGAAAAAAGGAAGAGAAAGGAAAAAAGAAGACGAGGGAAGGGAATGAAAGAAGAAAGGGTAGACGAGGGTAAAAAAGGAAGATGGGGAAAGGAAAAAAGGAAAAAGAGAGAACGGAAAAGGAAAAAGAGGAAGAAGAGAGAAGGGAAAAGGAAAAGGAGAAAAAAGAGGGAGAAGGGAAAAGGAAAAGGAGAAAAAAGAGGGAGACGAGAGAAAGGAAAAGGAGAAAAAAGAGGGAGACGAGAGAAAGGAAAAAGAGAAAAAAGAGGGAGACGAGAGAAAGGAAAAGGAGAAAAAAGAGGGAGACGAGAGAAGGGAAAAAATGAAGAAGAGAAAGAAAAAAGGAAGAAGAGAAACGAAAAAGAGACAAATGGAAGATAAAGGAAAAAGGAAGATGATGGAAATTAAAAAAGAAGCGAAAAAAGGAAAAAGAAAGAAAAAAGACGAGTGAAAGAAAAAAGCAAGACGAGGGGAAAGGAAAATTGGAAGACGATGAGAGAAAAAAAAATCGAAATAGATTATGAAGAAGAACGGAGCTAAAAGAAATGTAAGAAAAACAGTTTAAAAATAGAAAATAAGAAAGACAAAATCAAGAGATAACCAAAATTAATCGGCCGTGTGAAATCATTTGTTGTTAGCAATTCTACATGTTTCGTCTGATTAATGTTAATTGAATATTATTCCATAGGAAATTTTAAATGTATCATCTTAATTTACGCAAACATTTTTCTCATCTTGACAATTATGCGTAGATATCTATATGACAATTTCCTCACAGATTAAGAGAAGACTAGAGGTGACAGAAATGTGGTTCTACAGAAGGATACTGAGAATTCCATGGTAAGAGGAAACTAGCAGTACACGAATGTGGTTCTAAAGAAGGATGCTGAAAATAATATGGTAAGCGAAAACTAAAAGAGCAAGAATGTGGTTCTACAGGAGGATATTGAGAATACCATGGCAAGAGAATTGTAGAGGCGACAGAAATTTCGTTCTACAGAAGGATATTGAGAATACCTTGGGTGTAGTGCGTAAGCAAGGAAGAAGTTTTAAGAAAAATGGAAACTAAAAGGACACTTATGCAGAGAATCAGTAAGAGATAGTAAAAATTTCTTGGAGATAATGAGGGAGGAAGACTTGGAGAATTTGACACTCACAGAACATATGAAAGGCAAAAGGGACAGCGAAAGACTGCGAGCCAACTACCTGATAAGATTGTATGAATAGATGGCGGAAGGTGGGTGGGATTAATGGCAAAAAGACAAAAGTTATTAAGAGCTACAAAGGATAGGAAGTCGTGGAGGGTTATGATCGCCTACATCCTGAAGAGACACTGCACATAAGAGAAGAAGAATTAATGGCAACATTTCGATCAAGTACTCTTTGGTTGATATGGCATATTTATTGATTTATTGTAAAATATCTTTGAAGTCTCTTGTTCTTGAAATATAGAATAGTCTTCTATGGAACAAACTGCTGAACAAATGTATACCAGATACTGAACTAATGACCACTGCAACGGCAACACTCTTAACCAAAGTCTGGTTTGGTTTGTTTTGTTTTACGGTATATCAACCTCAATGAGTTATTTAATGCTGACAAGATTTTTTCTTTCTGGTAATATTTTTTTTCCAAAAATGTATTGCCGGTAATATTTTATTTTCAAAAATGTATTGCTGGCAATAATTTTTCCAAAAAAGTATTGCTGGTATTAAAACCTATTTTTATACTTTCATAGTGTTTTGATCCTAGTTTGAGGTTAAATAGTTAGGACCCTAACAGGTGCTACCACCCCGGGAACACTAGTAATTAAGAGGTCGTTCCATGCTCCTCAAAACATCTTAATCAGACGTCTTGCTGTTGGACGTAGTTTATCGTCTTACCCAGGACACGGACGTAGTTTATCGTTTTATCCAGGACGCAATTGTGTTTGGATCATTTTCTTATTGGTCAGCCATGTATCCCGTAGTCTATCCAAACAAAATTGAAAATAGAACAATTACAACTGAGCAGTCTGCTCGATTCTCACTGGGCGCTCCATACTTTTGGCCCTGTGCCACATGTAAGGTACATTTAGAAAGTCACCATAAATAAATATATGGGATTTTAATTTATTTACTTAACTTTTCTCCATCTCCAGTGTTTACAAAATTTAATAAATTACCGTTCATAAGGGTGCTTTAGTTTTTTCTTTTTTTTGTGACAAGACACCGCAACTTAAACTAATTTAAAACTTTCCTATTAAGTTCAAACTCAATAGGGACGGGGGAAAATAATTACCCCTACCTAAATTCATGTACTCGAATTACACGTGCTCTTAGTTTAACTCTATACTTCTAACCACCCTCCTACTGCATTTCTAGATTTTATTCACTAATATATTTTTATCAATAGGAGTAGATAGGTTCGTCTATCGCCTGGTTCACACTCCTTTCTCACCTTTTTAACAGGAGTAAAGGCTTATCTCTTCTTTCTTATTTGCAATGCGGTTTCCGGTTCCCCATTTGTCTGTCATGAGGTTTTCGTGATATAATTGGTTGGAGGTTACGAGTTTTCATATTGAGGGTACTGGGTTGATTGTTTTCTGGTTACTGCATCACAACTGGTAGTATGGAGCTCGAACTCTTTGGTAGCTCTTAGAGAGGCTGCTCTTATCAGCAGGTGCACAATATCGGGGTCTTTGAAGTGCCATGGTTAGGTGTCCCGAAGGAAGCAAACCTGAAGCTATTATTCAGTCGTCTTCGCCACCTTCTGGCCTGCTTGTATTACCTTAGACGATCGCTACTGACTGTCATTCTTGTCCACTTCCACCGTAAAATTTTATCATGACTACAACCTTTCCTTGTGGTATATATATATATATATATATATATATATATATATATGGTATATATATATATATATATATATATATATATAATTTCTGCATTGTAGAATCATTTCTCTTGAAACATTCTCTAGATATCCTAGTTTTCTGTCTTTCAGATAAACAATATGGATTCCGTTTCTCTAGGTCAGTCATTGGCAAACTGCGGCTCGTTTGGGCTTTCTGAATGACACGCTTAATTTCATAAGGAAAATATCGTTCCTTAAAATTTTATTTTATTTTTTTTTCACTCACAGACTCTCTCATACATAATCACATACATAAACAGTGATTAAGTACAACGTTCCTTGAATTATGCAAAATTTCGGGCAAAAAAAATTGTCAGTATTTTAAACCATTGGCGATTTTCACTAAGGAAGATCATACGTGAAACACCTTTTGCTTTTGAAACAGGAAACGTTCATGAGAATTTTTCCCTAAAGTAGTGGTAATTCTGAATTACTTTATTCTCGTACCAACGAGATACAAATACAAAAATATAACTGGCCCCCGGCCACTCCGATGTTTATATAACATCGGAGGAGGTAACATGTTCTCCAGTGTCTGCTTGTTGAAGTCTCCCATTATTTAATGAAACCTTCCACTTGTACACTACATAAAAAAGAAATGTTTTCATTTTCAAATGAATAAATTATAAATAAATCACACACAGAGACGTGTTAATCACACTGTCATCAATGATATGATATCAAGACTTCATTTTGTTTTAATTATAACAAATATTTCTAAGTTTGCGCATATGGTCTTCTATAGTGAAAATAGTTGAATGCAAAAATCACAATTTTTTTATATTATTCGGACTATTGTCCTCATTTTTGTTGCTATATTTATTACAACGTTTCGGCCGTTGTACGCCCCGGCGTTCTTCAGGTGGTTGGAATGTCGAACTGAACTTATTATTTCGTTATTGGGGTAGACTGATACAAAAATCACTTTGAATCTTTTTAGAAAAAGGTTGCCCACGCATGCTCTTGGTCAATCGCCGATGTATTAACGACTGATTTTATCTGTCAAGATTTAGATAAGAACGATGAAGCTCGGGCTGTAGCTTTAGATAATCTTGAAGGCGTTTGACAGGGATTAACATGTTGCTCTTATTCACAAGCTCAAGCTATGGCGTATCTGGTCGAATAATTGACTTAATCCAATCGTTCTTAGCAAATCGTCTAATGGCAATCCTGTTGAACAGCCACGCTTCTTGATCATTTCACATTAATTCAGGGGTATTCCATGACACTGTCTTTGGACCTACGTTGTTTCCTATCTTCAACAACGACTTTCCCGATGTCATTGGTTCCCAACTAGGGAATGAGGACGCTTCGACGTGGTGTAAAGCTTTAGCAGGCTTGTCTCGTTAGATCAGTTACGACTGAGTAGTGAGTTCGATTCTTACTGGATGCCCCACACTTTCGGCCTTGTTGCAACATCTCAGTTACGATTAGAAAATCACCATCAAGAGTACGATGAAGAGGAAATGAGAGCCTTAATTTATTCATTTCCTAAACTATGCATTGCGCATATACAAGCACAGATATAAGGATAGCACTTGATCATTTAAGCATTCCACATCCGAAATGAATCTACTAATAGACAGCTTTCTTGTTTTTCTTTTAGAGGCCAGTGTACTGATGACTTCTTTATCATTAAGTCTGATATGCCCGAAAAACTTAACTCGCAGCTGCACCGAAAATGATCTTCAATCAGTTGAAATGACTTATAAACTTTAATACCACCAAAACGAAACTTTTACCTTTTAATCCTCATAGAGAAACATTTTACCTTTTATTAGCATGTCTGATGCTGACAGTCATGAGAGCAACTCTTTGCGCCTTCTTGGTTTAAATTTTTCCAATGACATGAAGTCGAGTGATTATATTGCATCAACAGCTGCTGCTGGGAAAGTTGGTTCATTGTGTCGTGCCACTCAATTTTTCTCGCAAGAATTCATCTTGAAAATTTATAAATCTACCACACGTCCGTGCATTGAATATTACTGACATATCTGGTCTGGTGCTCCGGCTATAAATATAAATATTCTCGACAAAATCCAAAGAAGAATTAGTAATGTTTTTCTGACCTGGCATCTCGACTTCAGTCACTTTCTCACAGCTGTGGCGTATCTGTCTATATTTCTGAGATGAGGTATTGTGATTACTTGCATTATTCACATTATTCGGACTGTTATCCTCAGCTTCATTGCCATATTCACGATCATAGAAATTAATACAATATGGGAACCAGTAATAAGGAGTGCTAGAGAAAAGCAATGAATAGTAACAAAGACGGCCTTGAAAAATGTACAGTAGTCAACAGACAGTAAACCAGTGAAACCAGGTGCTGCTTGCTCACATCAGTGAGTGAGGACGATTCCCATTGAAATCTATAAAGAAATTTGTCGAGTGGAAAGACCAGAAACGAAGAGCGTTGATGATCCATAGATTATTCTGGTATCCGTTACACGGAACATTCAATTAGAAGCATTTTCAGTAGCAAGCTGTTCTTAAATTTATATTATTTTATTTATATCTCTGTATGTAAATTATGCATTTTTGTCTTACCCTGCAATTTTGTTGTTCAATTTACAATCTTGTCTAAAGCGATTTTTGTTGATGAATTTTAAAATTAAATTGCAAGTATAAATTGCTGAAAATACGTTACATAACAAACCTTAATTTTTGACGACAACTTATTTTAAAATTGTTCTTTCTTAAGGACATTACTACATGACGCTGTCTAATCTGAAATTCTTCGATTATATAACATAATTTTCCTGGGCCTTTTCTGTAAATATTTTCATGACGATTGTTTTGATGAGTTTTTCTATTTGGCTTATTTGCAATGTTTTTACTCAAATTAAGGAGTGACCAAAACTGGCAACTGCTAGTCGAAATATTTCCATAAAAATAAATCATTTGTTGGAACTACAAGTTTTTTCTTTTAATTATGCAACTACCAACGGAAACAAGCATCCTATCTTTAGTTTCTGTTTGAATATTATTTAGTAAATATATTAAACTTATGTCAATAAGTTCGTAAAACGAAAATTCATTCATTGTACAACGGTAGTAAAAGTGGTATTTGGGATTAGCTCGATGCAGTATATTTATTCCTATCCCATGTATGAACCAAACGAGTAAGGATAAATTGGGGTCATTACACGAACATTTGATAAACTATCTATCTATCTATCTATCTATCTATCTATCTATCTATCTATCTATCTGTTCCGGTCGAGTTCGTTACGTTCACTTCCGTTCAAATCCCCTTGGTATTTTGGAAAGATGTGCATCCACATTTTACCGCAGCAGATATGTATTAAATAACAGAGCTGAGTGGGCTTTCTTGCTTTGATGTGGCAATCAGTCTATGAAAAGGCAAACTCCGAATTCAGACCGAATTCAGAACTAACCGAAGAGGGATGGGCTGCGTCAGGTTATCCTGCCCTTGACATACCACTGCTGCAATACATATCATGCCCCTTAGACTAATCGATTACAGGACTCGTTACGTGAGGTAACGTGACAACATAATTCAACTACACGCATGTCTATATATGTGTGTGTGTATGTGTGTATGTATATATATATATATATATATATATATATATATGTGTGTGTGTGTGTGTGTATGTATAATTCAGTTTCATTTGCTTCATATCTACCTATCTATTATTAATGTTATTATTGATTGAGAGAGCTTCACGCCAACAAAGTGACACTGGAGTATAAATATACGCAATCCAATATGGCCATCATGAATTCCCCAGTTTGATAGGTGCATATGAGGCACATGAACAGAGGTTTACTCTGCGTTATTACGTTGGGCGTATGCCAAAATGGTTAAAGTCAGGCAACTGATAAGTAATGAACATTATTATTATTAGGTTTTGAGTTTGCAGATTTGTTTTACAAGCTGCCTCCAAGTTTCAAAATGAAACTTCAAGAGAGTGCAAGTCAAGAGAGCATGAATGTTGATACAGTTGATTGCATGCATATAGCTGACAATCTTAATATCGTTTTTCATAATTGCATAATGTCACCTTCTTGTTCTTCTTCTTGGTATTATTATTATTATTTCCCTGGGTTTCGATAGAACATACAATGCTTTTCACATCATATTATTATTATTATTATTATTAAAAACAAGATGATTGACATAACTCTTCCAATATTTTTCAACACTTCGAGAAGAGCACAATTTAAGAAAAGACACAGTGATTGACAATGTTCAACAATAGTGAATGTTCAAATATTGTTGAATATTGTCAAACCCTGTGTCTTCTCTTTTTTTAAATCGCGCTCTTTAAGTGTTGTTGCATTATTATTATTATTATTATTATTATTATTATTATTATTATTATTATTATTATTCCTTTGATTTCTCTTGTATAATCATTACCTTTCGAGTCC